CGTCCGGGTGCCGTGCGGGCCAGGGTGCGGCGTGTCGTCCGGGTGCCGTGCGGGCCAGGGTGCGGCGTGTCGTCCGGGTGCCGTGCGGGCCAGGGTGCGGCATGCCGTCCGGGTGCCGTGCGGGCCAGGGTGCGGCGTGTCGTCCGGGTGCCGTGCGGGCCAGGGTGCGGCGTGTCGTCCGGGTGCCGTGCGGGCCAGGGTGCGGCATGCCGTCCGGGTGCCGTGCGGGCCAGGGTGCGGCATGCCGTCCGAGTGCCGTGCGGGCCAGGGTGCGGCGTGTCGTCCGGGCGCCGTGCGGGCCAGGGTGCGGCGCGTCGTCCGGGTGCCGTGCGGGCCAGGGTGCAGCGTGCCGTCCGGGTGCCGTGTGGGCCAGGGTGCGGCGTGTAGTCCGGGTGCCATGCGGGCCGGTGTACGACCCGGTGTCAGCGTTCCCTCGTCCGGCCAGAGACAGGAGACGTGGCAGACGTGATGACGCGGACATGACTGACACTTACACCCCGCCATCGCGCCGGTCCTGTCCAAACCGCAGCTGCGGCGTCAGGGAAATGACGCGCGTCGGTGGTCTTGTCGAGATCAAAACAGATTTCGCGAGGGAACGGGGAGCCTTGCGCGGCATGTCCGTCCAATTCAGCCGCTGACCGCCATCAGGCAGCGTGCGGTGGACGATCTCAAACAGCGAAACGACGAACCATGCCGCATTTATTCCGCACTTCGGGAACGTACGGATCATAAACTTTTTGCTTTCATCGACTTTTGGTTGCTTTGTTTCAACTCAGTTATCACTCATAGGCGTAAGAACAGGAAGACCAAGGTAAAGGGCTTTGGGCTCCTTTTCGAGAATGTTTAACATTCAAGGGAGTGTTCCACATTTGTGCGGGTTTTGAACCGAAATAGCCATCTCGAAGGGTGCAGTTCACAGCTCCGCCTTTCTTAAGACCTAAATCCTCTTAGTTTCCGAGCTACCCGCCCGCGAAGATGTGTAGTCTACTTCGAGGCAGACAATTTCAAGGTTGTCCAGGCATTCATGACGCCATAATAACGTCATTCAAATTTTGTCATTCTATTGTTCATGCGGCGATCAAGGTCAAGAAAGATATAATTTTCGAGTCGCTCATATCTGTTGTTAGCGAGCACAATTTCCAGATAAAACGGCTCTCAATTAGCTCTCAATCAATGTCGTGCAAGGTATGATGACGCAATTCACTAATGATGTATTTAGGGGCATATTTCCTAAATAGAGAATTTGTGTTGTCTAGAACAGTCTTTCCCACTTAAAAGCGTACAAACAGCTATAGGGGAGGTTTTTCATCATACCTGATGTTTGCTTCAATATCTTCAAATGCGGAGCATTCCCTTTAACCTCATAGCGATGCATGAAAAGAACGTAGAGTCGGCCCCAATTTTCCGACGCGTTTCTACGCCTATGCCATCAGAGCATCCAAGTTCTATAGAAAGGTGGTCACTCTTCGGCTGAGACGTTGAGCTTCACGTTGAGCTTCACGTTGCAGCATCCACCGTAGGTCGTAGTCAGGCCTTATGAAGCCTACCAGCTGCCGCGGAGCCGGCGCGGGAGGCCTGCACGCTCCCTCGGTGGTCAGGGGCACGCGGCGCCGGCCGTGTATCACATGACGCTGGGAAAGCGCATGTAAATCCGGCGACGCCGCACAGCCGGTCAGCCGGACGAGCCGTGCATACTCGAGCACGTGCTGCCACCGGGGAGTGTGTGATTTAACGGGCCTTCACGGCGGTGAGTCGCGGCTCCGCGGGGCGCACGGCTCGCGGCCTCCCGTCCGCCTTATCCTGGTGGTCTTCTCCCCAGTAGACACGAGCGATCTCCTCTCTCCGCCTTTTCCGAGCGATCTCCAATCCTCGTCCAGTCTGATGGGTCGTGCGAGGTTCGGCTTGAGTGGTCGATCAAGTTCACCCAAAGGGCTTGGTTCGTGGGGCGAAGTCCAACCTCGTGACTCGGTCTTGGTGAGGGATCTCCCCCCTTTTTCATCTGGCGCAATGCGCTCCGCAGTCGGACCAGCAATCTCTTCAGGTCCACCTGACCCCCTCCTCCCCAGGTCACACTGAGCTATCCGCCCACCGTCTGGCCTCAGCCTTGCCGAACGCCTCCCCTATCCGGCGTACTTTGACAGTCCGCAGTACGTTTGCGGCGGCCGGCAGAGTTGGCCGCGTTTCCCCCGCAATGCTGAATGCCGGCGAGCGCCAGGTATACAGCGCCGTGCCCGCCTCATCTGAGCTTGAAAGGGTTGCATTCAACTTTTCGCCGTTTCCCCCGCCGCCCGTGCCGCCGCCTTCGGCGAAAGGTAATTTATTAGCACCCGGCAATCCATCAGTGTAGTGGCCAGAATGCCGGTGATGAATGCTTGTGTATCTAAGTGGACTGGACCCGGCGCTGAGGACGGCTCGATATCTCAATGCGACCTGGCCGGACCGCGGGGCGTTCGCGTTCGGTCGCGGCGCCGGCGGCGACGTCCTCGAGAGATGGACGTGCCGTCGGAACGGCCGAGGCGTGTCCAGCCCCCTCCCCGCAGTGGGGAAAGGTGGACAGGAACTGAGGCGAGGACGAGGTCATATCACAACAACACTGGCCTCTACGGCGTCGCGTGGCGAGAGCATAGTTGTGAAAAACCCGATCCTTTTCGATTCGGATACGGACTTTCGTTTGCTGGCGTGATTAGTTTTCTGTATGAACCAGCGGGCGTCGGACTGAATCAGATGGCAATTAGATTAGACTGCAACCTTGCATTGAGCCAGGAATAATCGATATCCCAAATTTGGGACCATAGGCTCATCTGGTGCCGGCTGGCTGCCTGTCATTTCCCAGAATGAGCCGGTCCGGCCATCGCCAATCAATAATGCCTGGCTATTCCGCTGGACGTGGTCAAGATGCCCCATTTTTCCAGCCGCCGAGACAAAGGTGGCGCAGTTGCGGCAGGAAGCGACGGTCACGCGCGCACCTGAAACATTAACCGCGCCGGACGGGTCCGCTAATTTATGGCGCCGCTTTGTTGGGATCGTTTAGCAGCGTTAATTACCTCTGTGTAATCCCATCAGGCCCTAAATCAGCCGGGCGCAGTAAATAATCGGCTCCGGCCGGCGTCGCCTATGTCCCGGGCCGCCACGTGAGTGGCTACTTGCACCGCATTGCAGGGATGGAGCGGGCTGGGAGTGGAGGGCGGTCCGACCGAGGCCAGTAGAACATGAGCGTGTTGGGCATGGCGCCGAGTGCGGGAGGGATCGTCCTGATTGGATGGCGCCCGGAGATGATTGCTGAAGATACGTGCTTTGAGCTGGCGTAAAACTTGGCTGAGCTCAACTGCGAGGACTCGTTCAACCTGGAAAATCTGGGTTAGAAAGGATCCAGTCGCGGATAATCTAAAAACGCGACGATCTTATCGTGCCTCAATCCATAGCCGATGACGGGCGATATCCTGCTGTTGTTAGACGGTCTAATGTCCGTCTGGGTTTCACGAAAATCTTAGCTCTGAGCATAGTTAAGGGGCTGTAGATGCAGAGCTATGTACATCCAATGTTCCCTCCCAAGAATCAGAACGATAACCAGATATCAACGAAGTGTGCGTGCCAGTAACGCACTAACTCACTGCGGCGCGTTCCAGAGGCTCGAAATGGCGCTCTTCTTTTTGACAAAATATGCCAGCTTACCAGACACATCGCTTTGGTAGCCCTGATGGGTACTGTCCAGCAGCCAGGTGGCACGCACCACCCTGACACCTGGGCGAATCCTGTTCACCGACAGCTGAATTCTGGGACCTTTTGATGATCCAGTCTCCCATCCATTGACGTCACCACGCCCACGTAAACCAGGCAGCACAAAATGCGAGAAACGTCATTCGATTACAAACAACATGGCGCGGAAAGGCAGCCAGCATCTTCCTCAAGACAAAGTACGCAGTGCGGCGGTAAGCTTCTGCTAACAGCACTCAACCCCAGAGGTAAACCAAACGGTTTAGTCAGGGTTTGCGGACCCACCGCCGGGGTGGGCACACATGGCGGCGGCGGCACCGGTGGCACCAAAATGCCGTCAGGAATGGCATTTGAAAGAAGGATGTTCACCGAGCCGAGAGCCCGGTGCGGAAATTGACAGGAATGTTTATGTTCACGTTTTATTTTGAAAAATTCGGGTGTGGTAGACAGAACGACGCACTGTACTTCAACTTATGCAAGATATGTCAGTGTTGGCATGATTTCCAGACTTGAGTCACATCGATTTCAGAGTTAATTGGCGCACTTGTTGCTATCTGTAGACTTCCAGACCTACGGAAGGAAGTATGATGCGCAATTTCGCTCATTTTTTGCACATGGTTTGTCTTGATGTATGCTGTATAATCGCATGTGTGAAAAGTCATGCGTATGTATTCCGCTCGACTGCATTGTAATGTGGTACTTTGGCCCACATCTCTACCCATGTGCATCGCCAATGAGCATTCTATGTGTATCTGTCGTTTCATTTTCAGCAGAATATCACGCAGCGCTTATCTTGTAAAGCAATTTTTCCTTCGATGCTGTAATGTTCGGTCAGTAGCCCAGGCATATACGCCGCACATGTGTTTGCTCACTGATGTACGGGGACACACGTTTAAATGCTACTGAAATTCAATTTTCTTTAAGACTTTTTGAACTGGTCAAAGCACAGAAGCAGCCTGGTCTTCCCAAAAGTGGTGGCACACAAGACCCTACAGACCGCAGTGGTGGGCACACCCATGCTCGCACGCGCAGCCGCAGGCGCCAGCAGCCTGCCATCGCCGCGGCGCCGGCGCCGCCGCCTGACGCAATCATCTCGGTGCGTGCGGCTGACGGGCATCATAAAATGGCCGGCCGGTGACTGATGATGTTTATCATCGGGCGATGTTTATCATGTCGGCACGGATGCCACCCGTTGTGCGCGGCCGGCCGGCCGGCAGTGGCCCTGAGTGGGCGCGGGCGCGCGCGGTCCCGACGCCGGCTGACCCGCCCTCCCTCCCCCTCCGCAGGTCAAGTGAACGCCAACGGGGAGACGAAGCGGCAGCGGACGTCGTACACGAGGTACCAGACGCTGGAACTGGAGAAGGAGTTCCACTTCAACCGCTACCTGACGCGCCGGCGGCGGATAGAGATCGCGCACGCGCTCTGCCTCACCGAGCGGCAAATCAAGATCTGGTTCCAGAACCGGCGCATGAAGTGGAAGAAGGAGCACAAGATGGCCAGCATGAACGCCCTTCCGCAGATGCCGCCGCACCTAGCCGGCATGGGCATGCCGCATCCCCATCATGCCGCCGCCTTCCACCCGGGCATGTCGGAGCAGTTCTTCACAGGTGAGCCGGCAGTGAGCCAGCGTTCGCCCGGTATCTAACTCACGAAACGCTCGGCCGAACTCCGGCCAGCCCGTGTGAATCTATCTCTCTCTCTCTGGCTGTCTCTCTCCTTCTACTCGCCCTTCACAGATGCGCCTTGGTATGAGACGATTGCTAGCCAGTGTAGTCGCGTAGCCTAGGTTTTCACTAGGCTCTCGAGATCGGGGACGGCTGGCCCGCCGCCTGCCACGCTGGCGGCTCAGCCGTCCCTGCATGCGGTCTGCTGTGCTAATCGTTTTCTTTTCTTTTGTTCAAGGCTTCTGGGGCACCGGATTCCAGGACAGTATGTACTATCCAAAGGACGCCCAGGCACTGCAGCTTGCCTATAGCTTAGCGAATAAGTAGTGACGCAAGTACGTATCTCATACATCTATCTTTTTGCAACTGCCGTCTGTAGTAGTCTCTTGCCAGCATGAGTTTCACACTTGCTGCTTGTGACTCGCTGTTGACACATGTTCGCCTAGCTCGCGAGCAAAACCTGTGTTGTGTTGATTTTTCATGGTATTCACCAGCTTGTATTGCCCAGCATCCAAACTGCCATCGCAACGTTGATCATGCTTAAAACAAAAACAATAATTTTGATGGTTGCGCATGTTCTTGTGCAATCATGTTATAAGTCGTCATCTTTATTCTATTCTTCCATCAAATGGAATATATGACACCCGCCGTAAAGCAAAGTGGTGAAGAAGCTTTGCAGACATTTTATTTTATCTGGTGCACGCTATGGATGCCTTCCTTAAACATGATATGCCTTTGAACTGGTTTTTGCTACTCACCCAGATATGCTGCTGACCTCCGAGCTTTATGTTCTCTGGTTCACTGTGACGGCCAATGCAGATCATTACCTAAGAACCCAAGCTTCAGCTTGTCAGTGTCCCGCTCACCCTGCAGCCTCGATACCCTCTTAAAATATGCATCGTCGAAATGCTTACATCAAGATAATTTTATTGTTCCAAAAAATGGTTCCAGCACAGCGCCGAATGCTCTGCCTGAAGTATGTATTTTTATATTATTTGGAGGCCGCTAATTCCCGATTTTACCACCTGCGTTGCCATTTACTGCTGCCTAGACGCATTCCTTGATTTCTGAGGGCTGTAATGTGTGGTGTTTTAGGTTTGCATGTCGAATGATTCAAGCAAACGTCCCGTTGTCCCTTGATTTGAACACTTTAACGATATCATCCTTGCATTCACCGGAGGCACCTTTGAGTCGTTCTTAAATGCCCATGGTTCTTGGCCCGTCATGAACTTCCCCAGCGACCAAATCTCAGTCATCCTGCAGAAGACAGAGATTCTCGGCGTGGGCAGGGTGGCCTGGTGTTCATGGGATGCTTGTCGTGCCTTGCACGAGAAAAAGAAATTCAACGATTGCCGAAATGTGAGAATGAAAGGCTATGCCGAAAAACACTGCAGCTCTGTAAAAATTACCTTGTCATTTTTTGGTTCAGACAAACGGGACTGCCTACAAAGGGCGCAGGTCCAAATGAAATCGAGAAGGCAGTTAGGTGTAAAACCAAGTGCAGGGTAAACCTGAAGGTGTAATAAACCTATTCATCGAGGCTGTTGAAATAGCCTCATGTTCATGGGAATGCTCTCATACTTTCGTGTCGATGCTGTGGAAAAGCTTTTTATTCAAAAAGTTTGTCTAAGCCTTGTACAGATCAATTTTTTGGGAGTGCGGACGAACAAACATGGGAAATTTGAGGATTAGCTCCCTTCAATGCAGGACACTAGATAATGCCCTGCAATACCGAGATCTCAAGATACTATGTGGTTCGGTCACTGCTGTGCAAAATTGGATCGTGGCGACTGAACTGTTTTATATTTGGACCCTTTTAGCAAAATGAGGTCATAACGTCAGAGCAAATCAACGACCTAACACAGCAAAACAAATCGCAGCTTACTTACATTCTCTGCCAGCCCTCCCAAAAACATTCGATGGCCGCCAGCTTTCTTTGGACCGCCAGACTGGCACCATCCACTGGTACCCAGTCACCTGGCCGGCGGAGACCCGGCTCAGCCGTCCCACGCCCCGCCGGCCTCGAGCGAGCTCCGCCGGAGAGCGGCCGACTCTGCCGGCGATTTCTCAGGCCGGCGCCGCCACAAAGTTTACGCTCGCACTAGGTCGCAGCTCATTTATAACCCGATTCGAAGATGTAATTCGGCTACAGAGAAATTAGACAGGCTCGGCCCTTTGGAGTGCGGCGCGCGGCTCATTCCCGGCCGGGAACTTTTACCGTGATTATATAAACTGTCAAAAAGACAAATTAGCCCGGGCCCTTTTCGAATAAGACATGAGCGATTCTCGGTCGATAAAAAGATTGGTACATGCGCGCTCGTTTATCAACGCGCCGCGAGCGGCGGCAGTATCGAGGCGCGCCGCACTGGCCAGATGCAGCCGCTGCGCTGGAATCTGGAGCGGTCGCGCCCTGGAGCTGTCCCACGGCCGGCCGCCACGGGATGGACGGGCGAGGTCGCAGCCACCTGCGATACAGGCTGATCCATTAGGACCGCGTCCACTTCATGACAATGGCTTACGGATGTGTGGAGGCCGGGTCGTGGTGAGGTCTGACTTACAATTCGGCGTCACTGGCGTTTGGCGACAAATTCATTTTAAGGAACTTCCTCTATAGAAATAAACTCGCACAGGGCAGAGTTTACTCCTCGCTCCCCTCACCACGACGTTGCGTGATATGCAACATTGCAGCGTGCACGCTGGCAACGTGCAGCCGGCATGCAGCCCGAGCGGCCGCCGCGCGCTGGCCGGCGCGGCCGGTCCGACCGCCAGGGCCGCGCCATCTTACACCTGGCCGCCGGCGGGCAAACGTCATAACGCGGACGAATCATCAATCATCGGCGGCCGACCGCCGGCCGGTGATTGGTCGGCGGCCGACTGGAGTCGCGCCAAAACCGCGCGCGGGTGGGTGGTCGGTCGAGAGGGCGGGCGGTCGGCCCGGCCGGCCAGCTTACTCCGCCTAATTGGAGCCGCGGCCGCCGGCCGGTGTATGAAAACAGGCCGCTATCAAGGCCATTATGAAAAATGTGTAGTCTAATTCGGCGCGCTGGCCAGATGCATATCAAATGGCGGCGGCGAACACGATTGGAGAACCGTGTCCGCTGCGGTTAGGTTGTTCGGTAAAGAGGCCACCGTTTTCGGCGGGAGATGCCACGGATGATTGGCTGATTGGGACAGATCGGCCCCGCGTCGGAATCTTACCGGCTCTCACGGCGTTGAGTGCTGCCGGGTCGTGTTATCGTGGCCGGACGGGATGGAGAGACGGAGGCGGGCGGACGTAATCTGAGGTGGCCGGCGCGACCGGCATGCCGTCCGCTGTGTTTATCGTGATCTGGACCCCGGCCGGGCGATGAATGTCATGATTGTTTGTGAATGCATGACACAACATCTAGTGGTGGAGCGCGCATGCCTATTACATCACGGTATTTGTAGTTTGGCAACGGCTATGTCCTTGAGAACGCGACTCGGATCAGCCGACAGATCTATCTAGGCATTGGTAACCGAGCATAGACTTAATAGGGTGATCTCGAAGTCAAAATGTCTACGGAACCCGAATAAACTAGGTTCACAAGGTATGTAGTCAACTAAGACAAACAATCCCTTAACGAGCCGTGCAGCTGTTTTTTACCTGGTTGATCCGTTCTGAAGGCTCATTCGCTACAGATGTTATGCCCTTTTTCCGACTGCTACGAAGCTCGTCCTTTGCTTATGCAGCCGTCACCGCACCGGTGCTGAAAGTTGTCTCTGTTTCCAGATTTCGGTTATGGCTACAGTAAGCCCTTCTGAGACAACGCCGCCTGGTGGTCGGACCCAAGCTCGCCCTGGTTCGCCTCCAGCCAATCCTCGCTGCTCCTGTAGACCGGCGGCGCGCCGCCGGCGGTCACTTCCGGGTCGCCGGGTCAGCAGGGTCACCTGCTCGGAGCCCCAGCCGCCACCCCACCGGTGCATCGACTCGCCCCGGCCGGGCGCCGACCCCTTCCCGGCGATTTTTGATCGATGACTCGCACAAATTTGTAAAAAATCATCGCGCTCGAACCAATCATCGACGCATGAGCGCTGGCGCCGCGGCCGCGACGGACGATTTCGCGGGAGGCGCGGCTGCCAGTTTGGCCCCTATTGGTGTGTGACGGCACGGCCGATTAAGGACATTCACATCATGGCGACGAGTATAAAAGCGCGGCCGGAGGGCAACGCGGCGGCAGCGAGGTGAAATACGTCTTAATTGATCGACTGACACCAGGATTAATGGCAGCGGCCGACTGGTGCGCCGCCGCGCCGGCCGGGCCGCCCCGACCCGAGGCCAACGATCTCAGCGCCCGTCGCTCTCCCCGCCGGCCGCGCCTCCGCGCTCTGCCCTCCGCCCGTCTGTCTGTATGTCTGTCTGTCCGCGCGTCGGTGGCGCCCGCGAGGGTCAGCCGTTCTTCTGAGGCCGACGGTCCTGCGTGGGCCCGGCGGGCCGGCCGCGCGGCGTCTCCTTGTTTGGCCTCCCGGGCGGTGCCGGCGCGCCCGCGCACTCCGCCTGAGGTCACCAGGCCCGGACAGGAGCGAGCACCAGCGAGCGGCGACGCCACGTTCCCCCGCGTGTTTTGTACATACCTACCTAGTAATTTAATGAGGTGGTGCCGCGCAGCGAGTGTGGATATTTGTGTCAGTATTAATTTGGTCTTTCTTCGGCGCACTGCGAAAGAAGCCAATCCCACTTCCGTGTTCCGAGGCAGAGTGCGCGGTCTGACCCGGTCTGACCCGGTTTGCCCTCCGGGCGTACGTGACCCGCCGTAAGAGCGCGAGCGCCGGCGACCGCGCGCTCGGGCGATCGTGCAATGACGCCTAGGCTGCGTAGCTGGCTGGCGACACGTCTGTACCCTCCTGCCCCTCCGTCCCCGCCGCCCGCCCCCGCCGGGGGAAAATACTCAACTGTGACCGTGACCGCGCCCGAGGCCTGTTGAACCTCTCGACTCCCATTGTTACTGTAAATGTCCGATTCCAAAACTAGCGGATAATATGCAGTCAGCAGCCGTAGCGGGTAGACTCTCGTGGCAGAATATTTTAACGTATCCATTTTATAGCTGCAATAGGCCTAGTTGTGGTGTCCATTGCTGCGTAGCCCCGGCGAGATCGGCTGGCTGCCCGAAGACGTACTGAAGGTGAGGCATGGAAGCTGGAAGCCCGGCTTGTGAGGTTATTTCGGCGAGTTGTTTTGTTTTGACGACAATCACTATTCTAGATGACTGATCAGTGTTTTTGATTGCTCTTGATGTGATTGCTAAACTGCTTGTTTGTGACATTATCCTTGAGTGTACAACACACGATGTAAATGTACGTGTAAATATATCTTCATGTTCAAACGTATGCTGTTTCATTTTCGCAATTTCACCATCGTCCCCAGATCAATGGATGCACCTTAGGTAGCATACCGAGGTCCAGAATTACATCAACATGCACTGCACTTCCGACTTCTTCATTCGATTAGCGCTTGGGCAGCGACCGGTGACCCTGGTTAAAAGCTGCATGACTCCCGTGCAGAACTGTGTTTGCTATCAGGTAAACGGAAGCATGGCTTATTGAAAGAAATCGGCAGAAATCCATCAATGGCGAGTTTTTATCCAGCTTGTTAGACGCCGCAACTAGGTTTTTATTATCAGCTTGATCTAGCAGATCGCACCTAAACTTGCCAGAGTTCGTTCTGTACAATAACTGGACACTAAGCTGGGGACAATGTACAAAAACACTTGCACCGGTGCACGCGAGCTTATAGCTCCCGCAAGCGCTTCAAGTTTTCTGGAGGACAAATGCATTACACCGTAGCAATACCAGCTCAAACTCTGGTAGAGTCCACGATCGGTAGAGTTCGGAAACTCAGGTGCAGTCCAGGATCGTTAGAGTCTGGTAAATCCGGTAGAGTCCGGGATCGTTCCACCTCCAACCTTGTCCTCCTGGCCAGTAGCACATGCTCACTTCACATTCATAGACCGCGGCCGCCTGAGATGAGACTTTCAGAACACCAAGTGGATTGTGTGCCAGAAGGACCAGTGCCGGACCTGACAATACAGTTTTCCCAGGGATTTTGCAAATGTTGTCAAATATATGTTCATGCTAGCAAAGGCTTCATGTGGGACGCATGCAAGCGTCACAAATCGGCATCAAGACGAGAATACCCGACTTAATGATTTTGGAAATCCAAAGGGGCATGGAAAGACGACTGCTTTGGTTTACTTGATATAACGAACAGATGGCGAATACATAAGGATTCGGCTTGCCGGAAGAAAGAAATATCACTGAGATCGTTTGGAACGGTTCTTACTGCAGAATACTGGGGTTCATGCTCCACGCCATTCACGTAATCACTATGCTGTCGCCCCGCTCACTTCGAGTGTAGCCACGACCTCGTCACCAGTCAGCCCCACCCATAAACACACGACTCGGCCTATCTGTGGTCTGGATCCCTGAACTCGTCCACGCGGCGAGACGGTGCGATGCGGCCCACTCCACACCACACATGGCTAGCTAATGGCGCAGTGGGGCGCCTCAGCCAGCGATAACGGACCGCTGTCGTCGTCTGAAGGCCGCTTTTGCAATCCACGAGCACTTGCCCGCACGGTCATGGCGAGCAGCTTCCTGTACTACGTCCTCCCTTTGATTTAGGTGAAGATAATCGGTGGAAATAAAAGTAGGACGTCAATAATGAAGGGACATTTTTGAGCGTGACTTATTTGGAGCATGAGGCTTGACATGTCCGTTACATTGCTGAAGTATGCGTATTCGTTTTCGCTTACGTGTGTGATGATATGTCATGCTGAAATGTTTGCTATGCCACCGGTTTTTTTACGTCACGGGTTGAAGACTGCCCTTAGGGTTGACACTGTCTTCACAATGACGTCTGTGATGTTTTAACATTTTATCTTGGACAAATCCAACGATTTATACGCTTAGAGTAGCTGCTCTTACGCATTTGTCATAAGCGGGATCTGCAATGAGGATCAATCAAAGCCGCAAGTTTAACTACAGCGAACCGCAAACGCGGACACATTGTTGTTCTTTAGCTGACTTACGTGGGCTTGAAATATGGCGCAGCTTATTGGTCAGCATTTAGCGAATCATTCTTGAGTTGGTCAGCTCCGAAGCCAACTTGAGTGTTGATGATTTGAATCCAATAAATCGGACCGAAACCATCAACACCCGAGGCTGATCCTGGCATCCGACTAGAAGCCCTCACCGCCGGGCGTCCGACGTTCGCAGATGATGCATCATTCAAACGCTTACAAGAAAACAGTTTATGCGCTTGCTGGAGGTCGCACCGGAACACGAGAAGATGGGCGTACAGAGGCACGTGCTCAAACTCAACCTGCCCTTTCTGAAAGTCTGAAAATGTGCGCCCTTCCAGCGTTCAGATTAGAACACCTGCGCCCAACACTTGCATGCTGTTTTGAAAAAGTCCGCATGGGCCTTTAAAACCTATTTTCAATCCAAGGTTTATGTCACATTAGTTTATAGCATTAATGCATATTACATAGCAAGCGTTTGGGGAATGTAAGAGTGGCGTACTAATGACCAAACATTTCAGCAGAACAGCGGGACATTCCAATCAGCAATAACAAGGCAAGAGATGCTCTCCAAATAGTGGCACAGGCTACTTAATTATCAAGGAAAAGGGGCATATGATGCTTTATACCTTGCAGGTGTTTTTAAACTAGATTTCCAGGTGATCTACGTTGCAGAAACCATATGGGGAAATTCTGAATAGCAAAATAAGCTGTGTTTGATGCCATAAAATCTATATGGAATGCTGTTTCGTATGCAAAGATTTTGAGGGCTGCAAGCACAAAAATTGGTCAGCCTCACAGCAATGCTATTGTGAAGCATTGTCCTTTCTCAAAAACTTTTAAGCCTCTTAACGATGCTCACTGATGGGTCCAGATCGCAGACATAAAATATAGTTGCTCGGTTAAAAACGTTGCGTTGTTAACATTGCAATGCTTCTTCTCTGCCATCCTTTAGGGGACCGTCCTGCAACAATATATTATGTATCACAGCCTGAGAGCAATGTAAGAGCGTTCAGGACATCTTACATACTATGTAAGTGTCGTGTGGTGGGGAAATGTAAGATTTAGAAATGTGCGGTGAAATTGCGTACATCTAGTGCGTCTGAAATATATGCTCCATCACACATAGCTCAAACTGTATTTACTTAGTTCGCCAATCATTGCTTTTAGTTTTATTTCGGTTTCCTATAACGGTAGAGAAAGTGCACTGCCTCCTATACATAAGTGACACGGTAGCTGGCATGTTTACAACCATGGATTTTTCCTGCCTGCAGTAAAACGTGTGAATTCTTCTTGTGTGCCGTTCCTACTAATATTTACTGCGGTATTGACTAGCAGGTTTTGGACTAGTCCACTGCTTTAGAGGATTGGTGTAAATGCTACATTCTAGGTTAAATTATGCTTTGGAATCGTTATTAAATATTATTTTTGAAAGGGCAGGATACGTGTTGACTTTGATGCCTATCTTACTCAAGGCTGTTAGGTCAGTTGTCTTAGGTCAGATGCCTATCTTACTTAAGACTGTTGGGCATGCGTTGACAATGAACATGCACTGCATGTGCGCACGTTTTTGACGTAAGCTTGAGCATACCTGCTAAAGAGTATATGGGTTCTTGAAACAAAATGAGATAAGCAGTTTGTACTGAGCTGCCCTTTCTTGTATTTAACGGGTCATTGCGTTTAGTTATGCCCCAGTGCTTGTTGAACTAGTTATATCTCACAGGTTTCACCTGGTACATTTTAGGGGCATCTCCCAGCAATTACGTGATAAATAATAGTTCAGTATAAGACTTTTCGTCTATTCCATCCATTCTATCCATTCCAATTGTGTATAAGTATCCTATGGTGGGTTGAGTCGGTTTCAGACCCGAGCGCAAGAATCGCATAGATTTGCTGGCATTCTTTTCTCAAATTTTCTCATCGAATCTCGACTGTTTAACATCTCGTAATATCCAGTTTTAGGCCGGTATCGCTGGTTTCTGGCAGACTGTTCTCAATGCTTCTGCCAGTGGCGCATTTCTACACCGGCCGAAGCAATAGAGAGGCATAGGTGTCCGTCTGCGAACGCGTCTAAGTTTTGTTTTTTATAATCTATCGAGTAAGCCCATGAAAAGGCGGGTTGTGCTTGCTTTCAAAACGTGCGGCACATAGGTTCTTCACTTTCGTTCCAAAAAAAGCGAAACATGGCGGTATGTGGGCAAAACCAGTAACCACAGCATTTGGGTCCGCCAATACCTAGCACAGTATAATCAAAGGATGGATGGATGGATGGACGACGTAGTCGAATGCAGTCCATCGCACTCGGATCAAAAAAGGATGGACGACGCAGTCGAATGCAGCAATGACAGATGCCTGTCGAATACGATTACGTGAAAAAGATTCGAGGCTAGAACATATACCTGCTGCACCATGTTCGGAGGGAGAAGTGCTCATGGCTACCCGTTTGTGAGTACGGTATATAAAAAATTATTTGGGAAATACATGAAATTAAAGCACGTCTCAGCGCATGCGTTTTCATATGCAACTGCTTAGCTCTTAGGAATTGACAGCGTTTTTCAGGACTTGAATCCTAATTTTCCAGATGCAAAGACATGCACGATTCGAACTTATTGAAATCTTCGACCTCTACAAATCCGAATATGCAGCTCCAATTCTAGTAAAGAACTCCACATGAATGCGAACTGGAACCCTGCTAAACGCTTGAGTCATTTTGTTTCCAATCTGGTCGTCATCGTGCAGGATGATAAGTCACTTATTTTGGACGTCATCTACGGACCGAGCTGCTATGAAGGTTCGAGTAACATGTGTAAAATGGCCTCATTTTGAATTCCACACTCTGAATATCAATGAAAACTTGCAAGCTACCAGCGGAATGTGCAGCAAACATTGCGTGTTTTGTTTGTTCTCTCGTATCACACCAAAGAGCCAAGTGCTCTACTGCATTATCATTTAGCAGCACCAGCACGACTTGCACCTCATCGATAGAGTCATCGAGTGACATCAGCATCAGCAAACACAACAATGATCTTCGATCAAATATAAAATGAAAAGTGGCGTCGTCGCCAACCAAGGTCGCTTGCATGCATTGTACAACTCACACCGAAGGAAAAATCTCCACCGGGCCTCCGCATCGGGGACTGGGTTTAGTTTCTTAAAGAGCGGGCGCCTCTGCGGGCCGACTGAATGCCAAACACAGCGAGAGAGCGGTGGCGGGTCCTTTCATTGGTTACTCTGCAGGACGCGATGTCAAGGGCCATTAATAACTTGTCAACTTCGGTACGCTTTATGTGCTGCACAAGACGGATGC